ACATAGGAACTCTCATGTATGATGCTGCAAAGTAATGACAATGCATTTATTTCTGACACTTGTAATAAAATAATAATTAATTAAGCGCATTCGATAAAAATCAGGATTTTAAAACTAAAATGTTAGCATGATCTTTTACAGTAGTCTTCTGTCAAAAGTTATTTCCATTCTAATGTTTCAAAACGTTGCCCTGTAAAATGCATCTTTTTCAGTTTCGTATGTTTACCGTAAAGGTGACGATATAGTCCTTAACCTGTAAGGAATGTTTATAGCCTGTTAATTCCGATGGTGGCGCCATGGTGTTATAACGTTTATCTTCGTTTCTCTTTGTGTCTGTAATGAATATTATTGAAAAATTATTCTCTCGCCGCGTAGAAACAGAATGCCGTGTACATCCTTAATTTAATCCCGTCACTCTTTGTTTAGTTGTCTTCCAATAACTATTTGAAGTTTACTTTGTAATATAGTAGCGCCATCTTTTGCAGTGGCTTGCTTAAGCTTACCTATTAGACAGATAGAATAAAGAGAACAAGAGGTAGAAGATGAAACCAGGTAGTTCTGGATTTAAAAGAATAATACAAGAATAATGTGCCTACAAAATTGTTTCCCAATACAGTCGAGCAGTGTCAATATTTGTAAAATGATTGTGTCATTTATTTTTTATGGGAGTAGTAAGGACGGAGAATCTGTCAGTTGATCTAAATCTATCCGTAAGAAAGTTTTCCGAAGTCTAAAAATTGTACCGTCTCTTATTCTTACTTCTCGGATAGTAGTCGTTCCGTCAGTTGTCGTTAGATGGCGGTATTATATTTAATTTATATTTGAGTAACTTTATCATGCAAATTCTGTTTATTAATTTAACATTCTATTTAAAACAATTGTATGAAATGTTTTTATTTATTTATTTTTGGTCTAGTTTAGGGCGTTTCGTACCTATTTATTAAAAAACTATCAAAAATATACCTATTACATTACAATTTATATTTCTCAGCGCCATCTATAATGTTTCATGAATATTACATGTAACTGAAGTTGATATGCATTCGTTCCGTTTTGTTTACAAATCATTTCACAACCTGCCACTAGGTGGCTGTATATGTGCCAGTATGGAAATCGCAGTAAGATATTTATCAAAAAAGGAGTACCTACTAAGTTCTTAATTCCACGACTTTTTTTTATGTTACATCCCTGTGTTTCGGTTTGAAGTGTAGGATATGGTAGCGAAATTTACAAACTGCTCCATTGCTAGCAATGTTCCGTATTAGGTCAACCTCCACGCTGTTCTCCCAGGAAACCACTGTCCTGAATTACAGGTGTATTCGTTATGATGGGATAACTGTCTTGCCCCCTCATTATCACTCATCATATCTCACTGGTACCCTACCAGCGTATACCGTTCGTACTGGCGGGGGCGGGGCTACCATTTCATTATCATCTATTATAAAAAAAGACTTGCTTTTTCATCTTCACTTGTCCGACATCTCTGACTGGAACCCCGTCAGCGCATACTGACAGCGCAGGCGGCGTTTCCGTTATCACTCATCAAAGAAACTTCAGTCTTAAGGAATGATAACGCATGAGCGGTACCATGGCCGTTACAATGTATTCCGTGAAGGGTATAACAGCTGTTCTATAGACGGTTTTGCCAAAGGTTGACTGGGAGAGAACGCTACGTAGTACTGAGTATGCCTTTTGTATCAAACGTTTTTTGTAATACGGTCAATAAAGAATAAATAAATGGAAAGAAATTAAGCAGTGTAGACCACACTGCTTTGTAGGCAGGTAAGCCGTTGGTTTGTATGCCGTCTCCAATTTGGTAAAGGGGCTTAAGCTGGAGGGAATATCTAACAGCAGTTGTTCGGGGGAGGGATTGTTAGTAATGCGGGGACTAGTCCGCATGTCAGGTCGACCTCCACGTAGTCCTCCCTGGAAACCATCGTGCTGAATCCCAGGTGTATTCATTTAGGATTAGCGATGGGTTAATTCTCACTTGTCATCCCTCACTGGTGCCCCGCCAGCGTATATCGTTAGCGCAGGCGGGATTTCCATTTCGTTATCATTCATTAAAAAAAACACAGCAGTTGTTCGTTGTAGACACCTCATCCACATGTATTTTGATAACCGTGTGACGTCAGTTCATTCATGCTACAGTACACCTAAAATTAAGACGTGAGTGCTTTTTCCGCGAGAAACAGTTTTTCTTCACAGGTTATTTGTGGACGCGAATGTAAATGATGCGTCGTTTCGAAATTAACAAGCTCGCTCTGACCGCCTTTTCATTCATGGGTTTTTTTTACACTACTCTTTTGCAATAAGATATGTATATCTAGTTCATTGTGAAAAGTAAAATGGTGAACAAAATGACAATTGGAGAATACAATCCCGAATGACAGGGGGAAAGGGATTGTTAGTAATGGAGACTGAGAATCCCATTGCCAGCAATATACCTAACCAGGTCGATCTCCTCGCGGTTCCCCCTGGAAACTATCATGGTTAATTCCTGATGAATTCATCATGATGGGCTAACTGGCCTGTTTTCATTCTCATCTATCACCCTTCACTAGTGTCCCGCCAGCGTATTCCGTTAACGCAGGCGGGCTTACCATACCATTTTCACCCATCAAAAAAAAAATCCCGAATGACTAAGACAACCGGCTGTTACATATGCAGCTATAATATCTATATACTAGTGGCCCGTCCCGGCTTCGCACGGGTGAACATTTTTACAACATTTTAAAAAGTGGTTATTGTGACATTGTGAAAATGGTATGGTAATCCCGCCTGCGCCAACGGTATACGCTGGTGGGGCACCAGTGATGGATGATAGGTGAGAATGAAAAGACAGGTCAGTTAGCCCATCGTGATGGATACACCTGGCATTCAGCACGATGGTTTCCAGGGGTGGACCACGGGGAGGTCGACCTGACATGGTATCTACAAACAATTAACAATTTAACAATGGGACTGGGAGTCCCCAATACTAACAATCCATTCCCCCCCTATTTGTGAGTATTAGTCCTGTAGAAATTTCATCAAAATCGGTTCAGTACGTTTGTTTTTAAATGAATAAATAATTGGTTTTAGTGTTTTTCTTGTAGTCAACAAAGTCAACTTGCAGTATGTATGTAGTGTTATACTAATAAACATACAAACAGCAAGGAAGTAATTATCAAGTGTACCGAGTAAACGATGCATACTTACTTGCATATTTGTCCAGTTGTTAGCAACGACCGTTGCACCTTATCCGATGCACTGCACCAGCGCGGCAGTGCAGCGCGGGAAAGTAATGACCTTTGTGTTTGTCTATCGACTATGAATTTATTGCATTTTTATTAGTTTACCACGTTTGTTGTTCCAATTTAACTTGTTGTTTTGTATCGGTAAATAGTTTAATCTTTTAACTTGTTATTTTATTTTAGTTGTAATATAATACATGGTTTTTATCATACATGCACTTATGTTACTTGCATGGGTGTATGCAAATGCATGCACGAGAAAGGAAGGGGTGGCCTATTCTATGCCGTGACCGCACGGGCAGTTTGGCGTCTTATGATCTTATAAATACCCTACATTATTGTGTTTTCTTAAATGTAAACATTTACAAAAACAAAAGAGTACCTACTTGCAAAATATCAACAAGTATATTAATTTATTAAATATTTTGATTTTTTAATAATTTCATTAATATATCCATGATTTTTGATATGATTAGCTGATAGAAAATGCATTAGCAGGCATTAATCTCGCCATTTGTACAAATTTTATTGTGCTATGAAGAATAAATATTTAAATAAAAATGAAGAGATTGCTTAGCGATAAGGCCGCCTTTTGTACCTCACTTCTCATTAATATTTACTGTATTTGTTATTTTTCTTTTTACTTGGTGCAATAAATAAATAAATATATAAATAAAAAAAATATTACCTTTTCGTCAACTTCTATTGAAAAAGACTGTAAACATTTACATTAAAAGTTTTCATTAAATCTTGTACGCTATTGGCCTCTTTTGTTTTAAGTGTGTATTTATAATAATGTATATAAATAAAGGTATATTAAATCTGGTACTTGATTTATGCGAATGCCACAAACAGATAATGCAAGCTGCTACGGAAACAGGTGTTGGACTAAATTTAAATTTAGCAGCAGATGGGACTTTGGTGGGCCATCGACAGCTGCTACCCACGTACAAATCCGACATAATATCTTGCTTTTTTTTAATTTTTATAATAAATACTTATTATAAATTGTAATCAAGTAAAACTATATATCTTAAAATACACATTTGTATATTCATATTATCGTACGTATATGCATATGCTATATACTATATGCATACGAAACAGTGTTCGTTTTTTAAATACATATAGGGATATGCATGCCTTTATCTATTTAAAAAACAAACAGAGTTTCTTGCCTCCAGTCGAACTTTTTATAATTACTCTTCTCCATCCAAAGGTTGCCTAGAAGAGATCGCTGTTAGCGATTAGGGCGCCCATTGTTTTCTCATTATGATTATTTATTGTAATTGTTTGTATCTATAATAAGTTTACTATTGTAATCTTTTAGAGGAAACAATAAAGAGTATCTATCTATCTATTTATCTATATAAACATACTTATTACAATTATACTTTCTTTTATTCCTGTCTACGGGTGATTGGTAGTTATTATATGGTGTTATCGGTTTTTTACATATCCTAGGTGTATTGGACTTTAATAAATAAATTTATTTATATTATATAATAAAGTTATGTTACATATAACATATAATCAAACTTGCCTTTGTACATTTGCTTACTTCTGTCATATTTTTATTTTATGATTGTGTATATTAAAGTATAATAAAATAATTAAAATACATTTTTTTTTCCTATAAAATTCGAGTGTAAAGTTAAGGTTAATTTTGTTAAAAGTAAGACTTCAAGAAGGGAGTAAATATATTAATTTTCCTTAACCTATTTCGATGAAGATAATCATCCAATCGATATGGCATATTCCCGTGTGAAGATTCAAATAGCTTTTTTATTTTTAATACTATTATTATAAATAGGAAAGATTTGATTGTTTGTTTTTAATGGATAAACTCAAAAATTACTCAACCAATATTAAAAATTCTTTCACCTATAAAATGATACATTATTAGCGAGTAATAGGCGAAATATTATTTAAAAAGAAACCATCTACCCGTACGAAGTTATTGTGGATCATCGTCATTATCATTACAGTCGTTATCCGTCCATTGCTGGAAATAGGCCACCTTCATAGACTGGCATTTGAGCTCGTCATTTCTAGTGGAAGGGTCGTCTTACACACACGTTTACCCGTACGGGGTCGTCACTCAAGAATCTTTTTTCCTATCGGTTGTGGGTTCTTCGATCTATGTGATCAGCCCATTGCCACTTCAGCTTGCTTGTCCTTCGGACTATGTGGTTACTTTGGTTCTTTTGTGGATATCCTTGTTTCGGATTCTATCACGCAAAGAAACTCCGAGCATAGCCCTCTTCATAGCCCGCTGTATAATTTAATATTTTAATTTAATAATTTAATGCATAGCATTGCCAGATCATTAGTCATTAATAATTACATTTATTTGTTGTAATGTTTCTGTATAACACACAATTATAAAAACTAAGTCATGCATGCCAGCTTTTACAACCGTAATTAACTAAATCCATCGCAGACTCGTTCAAGGTCTGTACAACCATTTTATCTATTTAACAATACGGACAACAAACCGAAAAAAAAATAAACATTTCATAAAACTATATTCACAAAAGAATGAATGTCTTTTGAGCTTCAGAGGTGGCTGCTTCCTTGGTTATAAGGAAACAGTGTTAAGGTTTTGAGGTGAATACATACATTCGTATGTAGCAACTGGCTCGTCGAATCAAAGTGAACTGTATTGTGTTGGTGCAATGTTCATTATCGTTTAATTTGCTTCTATCGATGTAATGATTATTTTTTCAGCATCTGCAAGCATTATAATAATTTTATTGTTGTAAGTAGGTTTTTTTTATACATTACCAAGATCATTGATATGTACAAGAATACAAGATTTACATCAAAATACAAAATTTTAATTTTAGTTCTGCCCCAAATTGAGATTCAAAAATAAGTAGTTGTATAGGGTAAAGGTATGTGTGAATATTGTTTTTGTATTTTGACAAGGGACTAGTGTTGCTAAAATTAAGCCACTAATTAAACAGTGTAAGTGAATTTGAATACTTTGTTCTTCGAGGGAAATTATTCTGTTTTATACTGTCTTTACGAGTCTTCCTAAATATATAAACATATTGCTAAAACAGATTTAATGCTAAATAGTAAAAGATTCTATACATTCATACTCGACAATATTCTTTATAATATTATAAAGTTGAAGGTGAGTTTGTTTGTTACTATTCCGGCCAGTAAACATATCCCAATCATGTGGACAAAGTCGTGGATAAAAACTAGTATCTACAGATATATATATATATATATATATATATATATATATATATATATATATATATATATATATATATATATATATATATATATATATATATATATATATATATATAAGACATATATAAATAAGACATGTATAAATAAGACAGGTAGTAAACGTCATATGGCGATAAGTCCGCCTTTTACACTAAGTGTATAATACTTCTGCACCCACATTTTCAGCCGGAAAATGAAATTTGTGTTTTAGTATAATGACCCTATTATGTGCTCCCCTATTTCTCCCTCAGGAGCGGTATTGCCCTATAATAGGGCCATCAGAGTTGTTAAACCGACTTTCCTTTTAGCCATATTTGTATCGTAATTAAAAATTTCATAATTGTAGCTTAACATTGTATGTTTGGACGTGTGGTCCCGGCATAGAATAGGCCCATCCTTCCTTTCCCGTGGGCGTCGTAAGAGGCGACTAAGGGAGCTCATGGTAGAGGAATGGGCAGCAGCGTCCCTCTTTAAAACATCTCTAAAGCCTAACTGAGATTGCTAATCTGCCTTCCAAGAATGGCAACTATTGGCAAAACTCCCCATATGGGGCTTATATTCAGCAGTGGACAGTTAACGGTTGAAATGATGATGATTGTATGTTTGGTTTCTATAACGTATTGCGATTAAATGTAGGAAACGAGACTGAGACGAAATCAAGATAATTTGGAAGGTGAAAGGATTAAGGTAGTTCTACTCGAATCTTTATAGAAATTACATAACCCGTGGATTTTAATAGGCCGCTCCCACTGAGGAATCAGTATTAACGGACTAGCCTATTTACAACGTCATACATTTACTCTTCAAGGATAAGCTAAGCTGGTTATGTAGAATGAAAGAGGACGTTTATCAACGGGCTTTTTAGTTACCATTACATTTAAATAAATAAATAAACACATATAATATTTAAATGGATGATAATGGAGGAGGTCGACCTGACAGGGTCTATTGTTAGCAATGGGTCTTTTAATTCCCATTGTTACCATTTACTTCCATATGGTGTATCATGGGCGAAACAGTATACTCTGTTATGTCCATGGTACTGCTCATGTCTATTGGCGACGGTTACGATTTCCCATTTGATGGGCTGTCAGCTTGTTTGCCATTCAAAGTAGCATAAAAAAATCACGTCTCCCAGTCATAAGGATATGAACAGGATTTAGATTATCTGCAACTAGATTTTGCTTTATCAAAACTGGGGATCAACACAAAGTACACAAAGAGGTTTCTTCAGGGTCGGCAACGCACGCGTAATACCTCTGGTATTGCAGGTGTTCATAGGCTACGGTAACCACTTACCATCAGGTGGGCCGTATAAAAGTATATATAATAAACTATAAAAGTAATTATCAAAATTGATTGAAAATAGACGGGGATATCAAGTAACATGCGCACAAAAGACGAAATGTGAACCTTATTTCGAAGTCGCTTAGACCTGAAATTCCACTTATAGTTATTTCGCACCCAATTTTCATACACATCAATACAAATAACTTTGTTCCGCATTGATCCCGTATTTAAAGCATCACCAGGTTAAGGCCATCATATAGCATTGAAAGTTCACCAACAAAATAATTATCTGTGACAAGATTCACACTCGGATTGACCTTGGAGAATTACATGGTAGCGAATGTAATATTACGTTTTAATGAATGAAAATCATGTTTTAAAATGTCTTACAAAACAATAATGTGATAATAAAAAAAGAAATTTCATTTATTGAATTCAGAGTAGCATTAATTTTCAAACCTCGGAATGATCACGGCGACGATATCGTGTCTTTAAATAAATCTGTACAGTAAACACAGTTGAAGTCGAATGTTTTTGCGGAAGCGATGTTTATCAGATGCGTTCCTGCATTCCTTTGTATATCATGTACTGTGTCAGAGTTCACGAGTTTGATCGTTTCCGACATGATTGCGGTACATACTATTCTGTCTACTGTGAAATCAAGAGGATTATCTTCCAAAGTGCTAATGGGGTGATTCAATTCGTAATTATGTTGAGAATTAAAACTGATGGCCTTCGTGGTGAAGTGGTAACCGTCGCCTATAAATATGAACAATACCAGCGATGTAACAGAAGACGCTGTGTCGCCCATAGTACACCTGACCTGTTGACAATGTGTTAGACCTTATTCTACTAAAAAAATAGAGGGAAATTGAAGAAAAAGGACGTTCGTCCTTCTAGATGACGCTTATAAAATAAAGTTCTGGAAGGGTATTGAATTTTAATTTTAAATTAAAAATATTAACAGACTTATTTAGGATAAATAAAATTCCGACCTTATTGGAAAGCGAATAGAGCTTTAATTTTAACAGCGAAAGATCAAAGTGTAATAAATCAATAGTTTCTATAATTTACGAGTAGGTAATCCCCTGCGTGTTAGTTGTAACGAGAGAGTAATTAGTAAAGTTCAAGATTTATGTACATTGGAAATACCGATGTATCGTGTATGTTGGTTAACTGATGTATTTAAGGCATCTTCATCGTTGTTACATAAGATAGATAGATAGATAAATAATAGACATAAATGCACAGTGAAAAAAGAAAAAAAAATACATGTAAAAAATACAAATACACGAGTACAAAAAAAGAGAAAACGAAATGCATAAAATAAGTAACAATTTTTTCTCTTCATGCGTGTGCCACAGTAACACAAAATGGTCACAACTCAGCTTATTGCTTTGCCCTAAAAAGAGCAAAACACTGATATTCTGTTGTGGTCAAAATATTTTTGCCATTTTTAAGGACTAATGTTTTATGTCTCCTTACTCTGTAATTTCATTGCCATATCCCACTTCAAATACATTGCAAGGAGTCAGTGGATGTAGATGGCTCAGGACTGTTCCTTATGGCAGTCTATGAAGGAGATCTGTATCTAGCAGTGGACGGATAATGACTGGTGATGATGATGACGATCCCACCTTTCAAACTGAAATATAGTCGTGCAAGTGCACATGATTGCGATAGAAATATGAGTGGGAAAGAGGTAGCCATTCAGACAATATTTGTACAAAATCTCCCTCTGGTAGATAAATAGAGAATTAATGTTACATTTGGTTGATTTTTATTTACTTTTTTTTATATTTCATTATACACACTGATCATATTTTTAGATTAAATTTAATAGATTTATTTATTTTTAATATATAAAGAAATATGACAGTGGAAAGTAAGCAGTTGTACAATTATTATTATTTCAGCCGTTAACTGTCCACTGCTGGTCATAAGCCTTCCCCATAAGGGGAGTTTTGCCTGTAGTTACCGCGCTTGACAGGCGGATTAGCAATCGCAGTTAGGCTTTTAGAGATGTTTTAAGAGGGACGCTGCTGCCCATCCCTCGCATTTTCTTAGTCGCCTCTTACGACACCCATGGGAAAGGAAGGCGTGGCCCGTTTTAACCCTGCCTGCGCTAACGGGATACGCTGGCAGAGCACCAGTGTAGGGTGATAGACGAGAATGAAAACAAGCCAGTTAGCCCATCATGATGAACTCATCAGGAATTAACCGTGATAGTTTCCAGGGGAAACCGCGTTTAGGTCGACCTGGTTGGGTATAATGCCAGCAATGGGATTCTTAGTCTCCATTACTAACAATCCCTTTGCCCCCATTGATCAAGTATTGAAGTGTCCGTTCACATGTAAATCAATTGACAACAAGGAATGATAACAATCATGTTATGTCATTACTAAAAAATACTTAAACATTATCTTTTATCCTTATGAACATATTTTATTTATATGTATGTGTTTATATATATATATATATATATATATATATATATATATATATATATATATATATATATATATATATATATATATATATATATATATATATTTATTCGTATTTTATAATTAAATATGATATAATTTGTTATGTATAAACTTAAGTTTGTCCAGTTTTTTTTAATTTTATATTCTTTTTTTTTTATATAGGTATAAATGTTGTGTGTAGTTTCGTTGTTATAATTCTTAATATTTTTTTTTAACCCCTGTGTGGGTGTAGTCGTATATTTCTGTAGAATAAAGTTTCTTTCTTTCTGTCAGTGCTTTTCAATCGACTTAAAATAGAAGGGGGTCCTCAATTCGATTGTATTTTTTATGTCTGTTACTTCATTACGCCGTCAGTTGTAAACAGATTTGGAAAATACTTCTTTTATCTGAAAGGATATACTTACAGATTGGTCTTACAGAATTTTTTTTAAAAATCGTTTCAATAGTTTAGTTTTTAGATCAAAATAACTCGTTTTGCCACAACTGAAGTCGGTTTTTTTTTATTTTCTATTATTATACTGGCTGTTCAACATGTCTCGGTCACGCAGACGAAGTCGCGGATAAAAACCTCATCCTTACTAATGTAAATGTGAAAGTGAGTTTGTTTGTTACCTATTAAGACCGACAGGAAGTTTACTTTCATATCCTACAGCCTAAATGGTCGCGTACAACGCGGCTTCAGAGATGTTTTCTCCCACGAACACT